TTTTTTTTTTTGTTTTTTGAAGAGACTCATTAATGTAACTATTCACATCTATTTGATAAATTTTGTTTGGTAATCACGTCATCATTTCCAGCAATTAAATCCTCTCTCGACGGTGGGATTGACATATTTAAGGGTAAATTGTAGTGACACCCACTAGTTTCTTGTAATTTCACTAAGTCCCTCCCTGTTTTTAAAATAACAATAACATGACAATGTACAACAAATTCTCCCACTATCTAACAGATTAGTAAGTGCCAAACCGGTTTTTCTAAGTAAACAAATTTCATAACATGAACTGTCTAATGTACCCTCATGTGAAATAACCAATTATTTATCATTAAAGTAAGGATTGACAAATGAGGGTAAAATTAAAAATATGTAACTTCGCTCAACCGATAACATTGACAAACGCTCAAGTGTAATTTTTAAAACAAGGGATCCAATGAAAATATAAAAAAATAAAAACAGTATCATCTTAAATTACGTTGGACCCACCTCTTGATCGGACCGTAGCCATGGCTTCCTATCACCACCAAATCAACGCCCAACTTCTCCGCCACCTGGCAAATCACGTCCCTTGGATCTCCAGGCTCCGCCCTCGTTTCCACCTTTACCTACATACACCACAGCCACATAACAGTAAAACCCAAGGCACAATAACAACTTACATGACAACATTACCCTTCCACAGCCCATAAAATTACAACTTACATTATTCAGCTCCTTGCAAATTCTCTTGGCCTTCTCCGTAACGCAGTTAGCCATCTCGTTACTGTACCTGTCCATGGTTGCCAATATATCCGAGGAAAACAAATACCCTGGAAATCAAAAAAGAAAATCACAAAACCACCACTGAATATTGTTCTTACTGAAATACCCTCGAATCAGGTCAAGTATTACCACTTAAGGAAGGGTGATCTGATCTCTCTCACCTGTTCCATCCAAGCCTGTGTAGACAGTTCGAGGTGGTTGGGCGTAGAGGAGGATAAGGGTATCTTTGGAATTTTCAGTTACTACGTTCTTGAGGCACCATGAGAGAGCATAAGTACTCTCTTCACCTTCATCGACGGCGACTAGGATCTTGCGTTCCGTTCTTGCTGTGCTTGCAGCCATATCTGTATGATCAACAGTTGAACATACATAAACAAGAATGATACAGTTGTGTGAAGGTGCGTAGGAATTGAGCAATTGATGGTGGTATATATAGTGTGTGACTGTGAGAGGATGGTGGGCTTTGAACTTGTTGCCGGTTTATGGTTTTGGACAATGTTTAGCGGTTTTTCAGTGGAGACCGTGGGATTCAATTATTTTATCTGGTTTTAACTCTTTGTTTTTTTTTTTCTTGTTTGGACTAATATCATTTGACACCCTTAAAAGATTTCAATTCTTAATTTACACCCTTAAATATTAAAAATTTTAATTTATACTCTTAATGTTATTGAATTGATAGTAACGTCAACTTCATCCAAACTATCATTCAATTTTTCATTATAAATTGAAGATGATGAGTTGCAAATGCTTTAGGCATGAACATATGTGTAAATCTATTGACGGTTGACGTTTCATATGAGATACACATAATATGGTTAACCTCTATTTCATTAATAAAATCCTATTTTTTATACACTAAACAGTATTAAAATGCCTCATCCTCATGACTTCGCAACACTTAGCTGTTTTTGGTAAAATAAACCAACATTATTCATTGGGAGAATTAGTCTTATAGAAATAGGGGGAAAGAGGAAAATCATATTAACTTGAATCAAGCAAAATCAAATCAACATACTGCACACTTAGACATTCAAAGTCAATGGAAGTTTAGTACCTGGAACTTAGACGATGGGAATGCATGTAAAAAACAAAAAGGACCATGAAAATCAATAACAAAGAGCCTTGATCTTGAGGGGTAATTCAATTGGTTTTGCATAATTTAATGGGAAGTGCTTCTGTGATATTGACATTGACTTCATTTTCCCAAGCTTTTCCCGTTGGGAATCAATCTGGCCACATTGCTACAGTAATCTTGACTACTCAAAATTACTTTCCTCTGGCCAGGATGCCATTCCTTGCCATCCCTGTACCCACACTGCTACAATTTTAGTGTTTGATATCATGCCAAACAACATTGTAGATACTTTAGCCTAAGTATTGAGCAACAATTCCAAAAATTAAGATAAAAAAAGGACCATCGAAAAAGCCACAAAACAAAGGTAATTACAATATCATAGAAATAAGTAATAATGGGAACTACTTCTCGTAATTAGGGGGTATTCATGGGCCAGGCCGGGTTAAGACCGCAAATTTTTTTACAATTAGCCCTAGGTAGTGTAGGCTTAAGACCTTATTCGGACGAGTTATTGGGCCGGACTTCGGGTAGGAGTAGGCTATTTCGCAGCCCAACATGCCACTCATTGGACAGGCCTTGTGGGTGGGCTTGCTGGGTGGTCTTTATATATA